TTGATACCAGCGGTAAAGCGCTAATAGCTAGAACAATTGTTGATCCAACTAAAAAGGTCACAGTGCGTTTAATGAATATATCAGAGCAGGTTCAAACAATTTATAAAAATACAGTTGTTGGAGTGACCTCGCCAGTAGACGTAGTGAAATCTTAGGATGAAAATGTAATAAGCTCAGTGACGCTAAATGAAAAGGTAGAAAACATCCCAGATCATTTTAATGAATTGTACGCAGAAACAGCTACGGGTCTAACAGCAGAAAAGGCATACAAAATTAAAGCATCTATAATAATGTTTCAGCAACTATTCTCGAAGGCCAAGATACTTTTGGTAGAACCTCGGTGATAAAGCATAAGATCAACACGGAAGGTGCCAGACCAACGAAGCAGACCTTAGGAGATTGCCACATCATGCGACAAAATTTGTTGACAAGGAAGTAGACAATATGATCATAAAAGCATAGTCGAACCTTCATCCAGTCCTTGGGCTGTCGGATGGTTCTAGTGGAAAAGAAAGATGGTACCAGAGATTCTGTGTAGACTATAGATCTCTCAATAGTAAGAAAGTGAAAGATGCCTATCCTTTGCCACGAATCGATGACTCGCTTGATCCTCTACAAGGAACTATCTGGTCTTGCACCTTACACCTTCATTCGGGGAATTGGCAAGTGGAGATGAATGAGGCTGATAAACCAAAGACAACTTTTGTCACAAGAAATGGCCTATTTCAATTTTCAGTAATGCCCTTTAGACTTTTTAACAGTCCAGCAACTTTTGAGAGACTGATGGAGACGGTTCTTGCCGGGTTAAATTTTAAGATATGTTTAGTGCATGTAGACAATATCATTGTTTTTGGAAGCAGTTTTGATGAAACACTTTACAAATTACACCAGGCAGGGCTAAAGTTGAAACCTTCTAAATTTTCCTTGTTCAAAAAAGGTGCTTTGTTTTTGGGATATCGTGTTTCCGGACATGGCGTTCATACCGACCCTCAGAAAATAGCAGTAGTAAAAGACTGACCGGTTCCAAAAGATGCAAGCAAAGTGCGTTTTTTTGTAGGTCTTTACAGTTACTACAGGAGATTTATTGCAGGTTTCTTCTCATTGGCTTAACCATTATTTAGGTTGACTGAGAAAGGCAGAGTTTTCAGTTGGACATTGGAGTGTCAGGAGGCTTTCGAAAAGTTTAAGCAACATTTAGTCACTGCTCTCATTCTTGCACATCTTGACTTCTCAGTGCCTTTTATTTTAGACACAGATGCAAGTCAAGTGGGTCTCCAAGATTGGGATAGAAACTTTCCGTATGTGCTTATGGCTTACCGCTCCTCTGTGCATGAAAGCACATGCTATACTCCGAATATGCTTATTTTTGGACGCGAGGTAGCCACCCCGCTATAGACATCATGTATGACTTACCGAATGGTATGAAGTTAAGCAAAGTACATGATTATGTATGGAGATCAGTAAGAGTTTTGAGATTGATGATAAAGTGCTAGTGTGTTTCCCACAAAGAAATGTAAGGAAATCTCCCAAATTGATGAGTTTTGGTATGGTCCTTAAAATATCCTTGAAAAGGATACTGATGTTAGATTCAAAATTAGAAAAGAAAACGATACCAAGACTCTCATTGTACATATTGATAGGTTAAGACATTATGGGACTCAAGTCCTGGGTAATGAATTGACACAGTCTGACGATGATCATCAAGTAGTGCTAGATGAAAGTCAGACTGATGAACATCAGAATGATGAACTTGAATTAGATGTACTTGGTAATTCAGAACTGAATGAATTAGAATTGCCATAAGCCAATCGCAGACAACGCACAAGGCCTAAATGGAACACTGATTATGAGTTTGATTATACAATTTAACTTTCAGTACAGTGTTTTAAGAATTAGCATTTATTTTCAGATTTTAAAAAAAGAGGCAAGAAAGAAAGAGATGCCATTGACCAAAGTGACTCCCAGGAAGCATGGGGTTTTATGCTCTATTTGCTTGGAGAGATCACTTGTCAGCATGTGGAATGGCTGATGATAATCGAAGAAAGTATGAATGCGAATTATGTGATCAAGCTTTTAGTAAGAAAAATATCTTAACCAGACACGTGAAACGTATGCATAAGGAACAAGATATCTCGAAAAGGGACAGATTTAAGATTCGTCAGTAGAATTACCTATAGAAGAGGATTGGCTAGAAGATCCCGGAGAACTTATTTTTGAAGAAACCAACATCGACTTAGGTAGAACTCAGAGAAAAAGAACTGTCCCGCGTTTGCCAGGTGTCAAAAGAAAAACAACAGAAAAAGTGAACCAAGTATGCCGAGAAGCAACTAGTAGTAGATCAGACCAGGAGAAACCTGCGGAGAATCTGCACTTCTCCTGTTGAAGTGAACCAAGTATGCCGAGAAGCAACTAGTGGTAGATCGACCAAGAGAAACCTGAGAATCTGCACTGCTCCTGTTGCAGGAAACAAGTTGAGACAATGGAGTTGCTACACAGGCCAACATTTCTTTGAAAAAATAGACAAAAGAAGCCGTAAGAAAATCATAAGAGTGATCAGAAAATATCAAGAAAATGTAAAAACCATTGAAAAATTTGAAGATAACATTTGGTCTGCTTAGAATGCCTCAGGTACATCAAATTAAACCGACTTTGTGTTTGTATTTCTTTCATTTTGTAACCAGATGTTACTTTTGTCTTTGATGAAAAAATTAATTAAAACAAAAAATCAAAATAATATATAAATGTCTATAGAAAAAACATGCGGGGTGCATGAAATCAGAGGCGTGGGTGATATAATGATTAGTGGAAACTGAAAACGCAAAGAAGACCCAGATGTAAGGTAAGAATGGAATAAAGAGTATAATAGACTGCATTGAGAGTTTCAGGGTCTCATTGGGAATGCATAGCAGCTGCGAAGAAGAGTTAGAGAATTATTGTAGGGTAAGAATAACAAATAAGAGAAAGGGTAAATAAAATAGGATTGCACCAGTGACAAGAATTGAGGCGAGATACTGAGGGCTGTAGATCTGAATAAGAACGAAACTCCTAGTATCCGCTATCAATAGGAACCTGGGGCAAGGTACACAGTACCAAGCCCAAGAGTTACCCAGTCATTAGAATTCAGCCTACCTCATATATTCCGTAATTAATGATGACAGAAAAACCCAAATAGGTTTAAGAAAAATTATTTTACAGTACATAGTCAAAATTATAAGGTCATAAGCTCAGGTAGAGTAAGAGAAAAATTAATCCCCTGAGAACCCTACGCAGGGGTACACGTTTACAAACACAACTCAATTATAAGTTACACTTCGAAAAGCAAAATATTATATGTTAATTTTATTATCCCCTCGTTTTATTCATGTGTGATTGGAATATGAGAAGATCAGACAATAGATGAATAAATTGAAAATATACATATATACATATATCAAGGCAACATTCGATCCCGGTGGAAATTGTGTCACCTCCGTTTCGCACAGGAATAACACACCCACAAACACATACACAATTGCGTTACTCCGTTGCGAGGGGATAATTAAAGTGATTCGGTGGTATTCATAGATTAGCACTAAGTGGTACAAACTTAAGATGGGTCAGTTGTCCCTACAGCTGACCTACTTGTAGTTTGTACCATCTAGTGCTAACCGTATTGGTTTCAATAGCATATGCCATTTTTTAGCTTAGGCACGTATATATAGTGAGGTCAGCTTTATCAGGAGTCCACCTTATGCGACCTTCATAAATCAATCTCATCGTGAAAATAAGCAGGAAGGTGTGAGTATTTGTTAGAATTTATGCTTGCAACAGCTAGTATCTGTTTAAGAGATCATTATCTGATGAAATCGAGGTCACTAGTCAAATAGTTGCCCTCTGCCTCTAAAAGAATTCATGCATGCATTAATTGAATTAATGTTATCATTAATTCAAGGGTAGAGAGCAATATTTCAATTATTGCAAACATTAATTGAATTTGTGATACCAGTAATTCAATTGAAAAGATCAATAATTCAATTATTGCATGCATTGTAATAATTATTGGTCTCTTCACTATTGAATTATTACGCGCATCAATTCAATTTATGATTTCATCAATTTATTCAAAGAGAGCAATAATGGACGCAGTAAGTCAAATTTGAAATTACAAATTACTGAAGAGATCTGTAAATGAATTACTGCGTGCATCAAATCAATTGATACCTTCAAATAATTATAAAAGATTTCTTTCGGTTTATGTTAATTTGGCGCGCCATTGCATGGTGATAACTGACAGTACACAGAAAAAATAATCGTTATACATAAAACAAATCTAAGGCGTTTATCTCGACAAGCAAGGTGACTCTAACATAACCATGCTAACATAAACAATTGGATTCGTTGACATTTTATTCTACATATATGAAGGACCATGGGTTTCTTATTCAAGGAAAAAAGTTCACCTTTCTGAAAGACATATTATGTCATCAAATCAGACGGATCCGCTAGTATGTATTTATGTGTGATATACGTACGTGGGCCTTGTCAACTTTCGAAGAATTAATTGTAAAACGACATGTGTTTACAAAGTTGCTGCAGACCCGGAAATGTAATCTCCGGAAAAGAGAGGCGAACTGTTGGAATTTTATCAATAATTTTTGTGGTGATATTCAGTGGATTTATTGGCATTCAAAATTTACAGAGTACACTGAACAACGAGGGAGGACGAGGGGTGATCTCTTTGTCAGTTGTATACGCATGCTTTATTCTATCGTCATTTTTTGCCCCTTCATTCATCCAGGTTTTGTCCCCCAAGGGTTGTTTGATATTAGGATTTATAGCCCATGTAGTGTATACTGCTAGCAATCTTCATCCAGTGTTCTGGACGTTGCTTCCGGCGTCCGCCTTTGTTGGAATAACTTCCGGTCCAATATGGACTACACAAGGAATGTATATATCAAATTGTGCAATATCGTTCTCTCAAACCCAAAATGTTCCATTGAAGGAAATATTTGGCAAATTCCATGGTATATTTTTCTTCAGTTTTGCATTTCCTAGACTCTTAGGAAACTCGCTTTCTTCCATTATTTTAATGCAAGGACATTACAATGAAACGACCACTAATGCATCAGAGTCTGGCAATATTAAAGTATGTGGTGCAGATTTATGTCCAGAACACTCAGTAACTGAGATACAGTTCTCCTTACCAGATCCACTGACGGTCAAAATACTCATGTCTGTATTTGTAACATTCAGCATTATTGGTTTACTGTTATGCATTTTCTTACTACCGCCACTTCCAACCACCGTAACGTCCACAAACAACAGCGTCATCAGAAAGATGTTATCCGCCACCTGTTTTTGTCTCCGAGTGAACACAGAAGTAGAGATGATTCTTTTTATTCCGTCCATTGTGTTGTTGTCATCTGTGGAAACCTTCCGTTGGATTGGCGTCTCCAAGGTGTATATATATACGAGAATATAATTCAAATTAATGCTTTAATTACTATGTATACGGAGGTTTTCAGGTCTTACATGTAGTTCTCAGCTTGTGCGGTAAGAAAATGCAATGTACGCTGCTCCACTGCAACAATAAATCACAGAGATGATTACTGAAAGAATGGACACCAACATATTGTGATCCAAAACCCTACTTAAATATTTAAAGGTTGTTAATTTGATGAAAGCATTTTCCTTTTAAATTTCTTGATTTTTTTTTTTTTTTATCTATTTCTATTTTATTTTTTTATTATTATAATTTATTGATTGATTGGTCATAGAAGTTAAAGAAATGTTTATTTAATCAGAGTGAAAGTTAAACCCTTGAGAGCGGAGAAAGAACTAGTCTACAAAGGGAGGACTAAGTTTTTTTGTTTTGTTTTTTTGTTTTTAAACATTTTGCACATAACGTGTAGTTACATTGTACAGTACACATTCATTATTATTAGGGATGGCAACGAATATTCGAACATTCGAATATTCATTCGATGAGTTGATATTCGAATATGAATTTAAGATTCAAATATTCGGTGTTTTTCAGATTTCATAAAAAGAAGTACTGTGATTAATAAATTTTGATTAGAACAGTGCTGGAATAATGGCATTATCCCTGTTTCAATTTCGATCGCCTGATTTCTTTCACTACTTTCTTATCTTATAGGTATGCTAAATTACAGTTATTTTGATTTGAGTAAGGTGTTAAAGAATTGTACAATAATGCTTTACGTATAATACAAAACGTACTTTCATAGTTTTTATTAGTTAGATACTATCGGATCTAGAATCGAGGACAACAAAATGAAAACCTTCTTAGAATGTCTAAAAGACGCGAAGCGTATACTTTTCAAAATAAATTTAATTGATCATTGAAGGAATGTTCGATAGAATTAGTCTGTTATTAATATTGCTCAATTTCAGAATAATTATGTAAATTACTTGATTTTCTCGGGTTGTACATAATCCAAAATTTTATATTCATTATCGGGAAATTAGTTAATTACATAGGAAAATTGTCTATGGAAATATTTGTTTAAACATTGTATCAAAGATTATAATCATATCTCTTATTAGGCAGATAATTGTATACTACACGTATTGAAATCTGAACAGTACACCGTTACGACTATATCTTGCCTTTGGTAAAATGACTGGTTCCTCAGTTGGAGCTACTATAAATACACATGTTTCATTTGTTAAAATTGTACTTTTCTACATTGAAATCAATTATTTATTTCAAACATTGACAAATATCAAATGAAATTTCTTATTGTACACCTACAGAAGTCTTCATACAATTTTACTTCAATATAAGTATACCTACGCTAAACCTTTCATGAGAGTAGGATGATGCATGTATAAATTAAACAAATTTTATTTATTTTATCGAATATTCGAATATATTCGAATACTTTCATTGAATATTCGAATATGAATTATTGACAAAATTCACATCCCTAATTATTATTAATTTGAATTTATGATAAATAACTTAACCATTACATCTTATGATTAGTTTTAGACTAATTAATGACACAGTTATCATGATTATGCAATGCCTTATGATTCTCTGAACCATAATGTATCTTCTTTTTCTTGTGTTGGTTTCAGTGTGAATTGTTTCCGGCAATGTTAAATATGACATGTAACGATAACATGGCAAAAGTTACAAACAGAACTTCCATGTAATGATTATTTGAGACTAATGGGTTACGTTCTTTCAGGCCTATATAAGCTGTCCCTTTGGTGTACAATTTGTCGGATTTTCAATGGCTCTGCATGGACTCTTAAGCGGAGTTTCTTCCATTTTCCTTCCACGATTGGCAAATTTTATCAGCAGAAAGTATGTAGTGACTTCTTTGATAATTGGAATCACTATAACGCATGTAGTTTTCTTGATATGGACACCGGTAAACGATGAACTGCCCCAAATGATGGGGTTTATTTCCATACAGGGAGTGCTAGAGGGGGGACTCAGTACAATGCTATGTGGTAAGTACAGTGTGGTGTGTGATAAGTTAGAGTGGCGTGTGGGAGTAAAGAGTGGTATGTAGTAAGTCTGATTGGTTAGTAGTAAGTAAAAAGTGGCATGTGGTAACTACAGAGTGGTGTGTGGTAAGTAAGAGTAATGTGTGGTAATTCAGAGAGGTGTGAAGTTAGTACAGAGGGTGGTGTGTGGTAAATCAGAATGGTGTGTGGTAAGTACAGAGAGTGGTGTGTGGCAGAAAGAAGAGGTGTGAGGTAAGTAAAGATTGGTATGTGGTAAGTGTAAGTAGTGTAAGATAAGTAAGGAATGGTGTGTGTACGTATAGCGTGGTTTGTAGTCTGTACAGAGTGATGTGTAGTAAGTACATAGTGGTATGTGGTAAAAACAAAGTGGTGTGTGATAAGTAGAATTGGTGTATAGTTAGTACAGAGTGATGTGTGGTAGGTCAGAGTGGTGTTTGGTAAGTAATAGTGGTGTGTAATTGGTACAGAATGATGTGTGCTAAGTAGAGTGCTATGCGGTTGGTACAGAGTGGTGTGTAGTAAGTACATAGTGGTATGTGGTAAAAACAAAGTGGTGTGTGATAAGTAAAAGTGGTGTGTAGTTAGAACAGAGTGATGTGTGGTAGGTCAGAGTGGTGTGTGGTAAGACAGAGTGGTGTGTGATGAGTACAGAGTGATGTTTGGTAAGTAATAGTGGTGTGTAATTGGTCCTGAATGATGTGTGCTAAGTAGAGTGGTATGCGGTTGGTACAGAGTGGTGTGTAGTAAGTACATAGTGGTATGTGGTAAAAACAAAGTGGTGTGTGATAAGTAAGAGTGGTGTGTAGTTAGTACAGAGGGATGTGTGGTAGGTCAGAGTAATGTGTGGTTAGTACAGAATGATGTGTGGTAAGTACATAGTGATGTGTGGTTAGTACAGAGTGGTGTGTGGCTAGTACACAGTGGTGTGTGTTAAGTCAGGGTGGTGTGTGGTAAGTACAGAGTGATATGTGTTAGTACACAGTGGTGTGTGGTTTGTCAGAGTGGTGTGTATTTAGCTAAGTACACAGTGGTGTGTGTTAAGTCAGAGTGGTGTGTGGTAAGTACAGAGTGATATGTGTTAGTACACAGTGGTGTGTGGTTTGTCAGAGTGGTGTGTATTTAGCTAAGTACACAGTGGTGTGTGTTAAGTCAGAGTGGTGTATGGTAAGTACAGAGTGACATGTGGTAAGTACAGAGTGGTTTGTTGGTAAAACAGAGTGGTGTGTAGTAAGTCTGACAGTGATTACATTTCGATGATGTCAAGAATTCTTGTACCTCACATCAACATATTTACTCAAATTACTTATGTGAAAGATTTTAAATCTTTCTTAAATTATAGAAGTGATCAAATTTCAACACAGCTTGAAATAAACATTCTTATCGAGCAAAATTGAAACGCAAATCTCCTTTGAAATCAACAATTTTAGTGCTCTTTATTTTACTGTCACTTTATATGTTATTTTGTAAGTACTAGTAGACGATTTTATTCTGCTTTTAGCTTTCCTGTCATTTATGTACCCAAAGAAAACAGATGCAGCGTTCGCTAGCTTGGCTACATGGAAATCATTAGGAAACACAGCATTTATAATCCTTGCTTACTACCTCTGTGAAAGTGCAAGGTTGTATATTATTTACGCCCTCTGTATCCTCTCTATGACCACCTACGTTGCCTTGGAATTACGTTTGAGACTGAGAAAGAACAAACCTGAAATTAATGATGAGCAGGAGGATGAGAGCAACAAAGAGTTAAAGATGTCTGACGATTAAATATTGCTTAATTTTATTTGAAATAAGTATATTTGGTGAAAATACCAGCTGTTTATCTCATTTCCGCTTATTTTCTTAGGGAGTTCAGTTCAGCTGCCAGTTCTTTATTACATTGGTTAAAAGAATTCTTGAATTTATTCTAAAGCAGGCTCGTAGTACGCAACCCCTCTTTTTTTCTGAGAATAGTTATTTACTGCAGTTTTTTTTTATTTGGATGCTACTTGCAACCCCCCCCCCCCCCCCTCACACACACACACACACTTTTAGTGGCTGTGGGCAAATTTCAGCATTTGAAGAAAAAAAATTGTACCGAATAGTTAGAGAATATCCCCCTTTCCTATACACATGAAATAGGATTTTAGAGTTTGGACATTTTAGAGTTTTTTTCACTTGCTTGTAAACTTTTTCCCGGACCCCCCCCCCTTTTTTTTTTGGAAAACCTGTAAAGGATGCAATATGTGAAAAGTCTATGGTTTGTGTGGATTTATTTCTGTATAAATGTTTATTTTAAAATCAGTCATGTTCGCTATTTTCCAGCGAAGAGGAAAGTCGTGAATTAAATCAGCATACACTGTAGTAAACCTAACATCATCATTATACCAAAATGTGAATTGAAAATTCAGGCAATTTATATTCCCTGCTAAGGAATAGAATAAGCGAGTGGCAGAATGCAGATGCATTGAACTTAATATTCGCTTTTAGTCTAAAAATAAAAGAGGGTCTTTCTTAATTAGGTCTTCTTTAAGTTTGTTTGTTTGTTTGTTGTTGTTGTGTAATTTTTAACGTATATTGAGACGTCACAACTTGCCGGTGGAGGCTGCAAATTTAGACCTTTACACTTGCAGCATTTGAGCAGTGAGGAATCTTTATCGTGCAAGTACCTACTGCGACACGGGATCTCGGTTTATGAGGTCTCACCTGATCGCGAATGACCGGTCTCCGAGTCACAGTGGATTCGAACCCGCGACGTAGGGATCCACTCCTTACTCTGCGACTCTAGGGCAAATGCTCTAACCACTGCGCCACGCGGGCGCCCGGTCTTCTTAAAGTCATAGAAAGTAATGGCATCAAATTTCATAGCAAAAGCTACATGGAAACCGATGTTTGCAATATATGAATTTTTGAGTTTGACCTTTTACCCTCAAAATCAATTGTAGTCTCCTCGAAGTCACAGGGAGTTGGATATATTTTTATAAATTTCTGATCTTGACCTTTGACTTTTGACCTCAAAATGAAGGGTTTTTTCTGAATTATACGGAGTTAAGTATTAAAAATCTTAAAGAGAACTAAAATTATGATCTGAAAACAACTTTATACAATATAATTATGAATTTCTGACCTAGAACCTTTTGATCTGAAAATATTTTTTTTCACGTCATATAGCTATAGGAAGTTTTGGTATCAAATTACATAGCAAAAGGAGAAGAAGAAAGTTGTCCTCTGGAAAACATTAAATGCAATATAAGAGTTGTTCTATGACTTTGGCCTTTTACCCCTCAAAATCAATAGCGGTATGTTCGAAGTCATAAGGACTTTAAAATTTCATTTACAAAAGCTTTAAGACATCAGAGATGTCCGGTGATCATGTTGTAGAAACAAAGAATAAAGGACAAACCCCAATTAGTTTCCCACGTGTTTATCGAAAGCGGTGGACAACAACACGAACAAGGTGATTTAAAAACGGAGTACCTGTGAATTCTGATGTTGTTTAGAAAAAAAAAAGCAACAATATATCACAGGCACTTGTGGACAGGACCCCCCCCCCCTTTCCCGATATTCAATCCTAAAATAATGTTTCCACACAAAAATACCCCACTATACATTATGAGAGACTTTCTCTCTTATAATATTATTTTGGGGTTTTCACGATTATTCCTATGGCACACATGATGAATAAGTGTAATAAATATAATTTATATATAGAATTAGCCACAAGTGAAATAAAAACTTTTTGCATTTAAATTTTGATATTTGTATTAAAACAAGAATTTGTAATACTTAAGAAATGCGCTTCATGATAAATATGCCGGCGTGAAGCGGTGTAGTTCATGTTCCTCATGAATTTTCAAAAATTAAATTCATTTCTTATATTTACATTATTATTTTTTTTTTTTTTTTTTTTGATGAGTTGCCACAAATAACGCCATTCAAATGTCATTTTTAAAGCAAAACAGTTTGCACTATAGCTTTGACGTCAAGTACGTTATTATGACGTAACAATGGAGACATGGTAGTTCATCAAGCTCCTGACAGCTCAGTATTACGTTACGCTACAACTTCATATCATTATTCGTAGGGAAAGTAGTCCCGGAGAATTGACACTGTATGGAGTTTGGGTAGTTCATGAGAAAATGAACAGTATTCGAATTTGCAAAGAATATTAAGGAAAAATATTCGGAAATGTAAATATTCTCATATGAATAGATATAAAAATCTTCTTTTTTTTTAAAAAAAGGAAATTATCAGAGATTGGAAATGAATAATTTTTTTAATCATTGAAAATGGTGGGGGGGGGGGGGGTAGAGACAATCCTGTCCACTAGAACCTCTGCTTTTGTAGGGCAACCGAAAAACACAATTAATGATTAATAAATGACTGATGCAGTATGTTACAATACCGTGTTACCTGTAGAACCATGAGAACTCCGTCCCTTTGAAACTGTTAAACAGTGTTAAATAGTCTATTTGAAAAAGTCGAGGAAAGTCCATAGTTCGATTCTTCGACACCAGAAAACAGGCTAGGATAATAAAAAGTTTACATCGTTACGCATAATTCTATATGAATTAACCGAAACATTTACGTACGACCTACCTATTAATTAGCAAAACCTTTTCCTCCAATTTTTTATTACTTGTTTTGAATTATATTCTTGTAAATCATTGATCATTTTGTGATCATTGTTTCAAATATTTATGCCACATTCAAACACTCGATAAAGTTTTAATACGAAGACACGGCTATTTCTAGTTGTCCTTAGCAACATGACTCTAAATAGGACACACAGACAGACATAATTGTAAGGAGTGCAGAAAAAAATTGGCGAGTAGGATATTAAACATAAAGCTTTTATAAATATGGCCGAGGTAAGTATGAAAAAAAAAATTATATTATGTTGCTTTTGATTTAGCAAGGTTTCTTTTTTCGTTGAAGAAACGATTTTCTATGTTATAAAGATGTTGCTATGCATAAATCAGTGTATGTGTAAATCGGTGTTTCCATAATCCTCATACAAAAGAGTTTATCATAAGATCATGATTTTTTTTTTAAATAAAACACATTCTCTCCATGCGTCAATATATATGCGGAATCAAACTAATTCCCTGATTGTATATTGGAAGAACTTTTTTTTAATTAACTCAGGTCTGGTACAATCACTAGATTTAGCTACGTACGTAGCTTGAATTACTTACATAGCTTTATTTACCTACCTGAAGTAGCTTTATTTAGCTACTAAATCAAACTTTTTTCTTAAATTAGCATTCTTCCCAGAAAGTGCAGAAAATTGCACTCTGATAATTTTCAACTCTGAACTCGTCTGAAAACAATTCATGAAAAAATCACTCTTGGAGATGTGTCTTTTTTTGTGCAATTGCAATCAAAGTTCTAAAAGTTTTGGGGCTATATACAACAGTAAATTTGTGACCTAACAGTTACTTCTTGAGTGTAATAACAAAGAAAACCAGTTTTGGTTAACATGAGCACAATGTGAAGTAATCATACTTATCCACGCCTCATTGCGCACAAGGTGTGTACAGTTACTCAAACAATGGGAATACATATTTTCCTTAAAAGTGATCAAACGCAGCAATGTTAAAACTATCTCTGCTTTAGATTGCTTTTTAAATGATATCTAGAATAAATATTAGTAGACATTTTCTTGCGACTTTTTGTCTTTTTAAAATAAAAAGCAAAATTGTGAAAAGTTGCCTTGAAATAGCTAAATAAAGCTACCTGAGGTAGGTAAATAAAGCTACGGTAGGTAATTTTAGCTAAAGGTACTGATTGTACTGGACCTGACTAGTGCATGTAAACAGGTAGAAACGATTCATCACTTAAACAATAAAGACTAAAATTGTGTTCTTAGTTATCGAGGCAATGAGGAATGTAAAAATTTGTTTATATTTTATTAGTCAAAGAATGAATTTGAATTCTAAAAAAATTATGATATCCAGTAAATTATATAAACAGGAAGATTAATGAAATCTGTATATGTATGATAAAATATTGAAAAAAAACATTGGTGTGCTTGTAATTATATTTCACAAAAGAATAAATATAGTAAATGCCATTGATTTACCATACCACATATCCTATCATTCATGCCTTTAACAAATATCATCTTTGTCAAATCTTTATCCCAAATATTCATTTTTTGTTTCACGTGAATTAATTTATGTATTTGATAATCAAACTGGCTAAATCAAATGTGATTTGTGCACTAAGATTTCTGGGGTTGTTTTTTTTTATCTACCAATTGCGAATGGTACCCATACTCATTGCAATGGAAAAGGTAGCATCAAGCTACACAAATTTAGAATGTTTTAGATTGTTTTAATATCTCTTAATCTTCTCATGTTTTTAAAGTTGTCAATAATATAAAAGCAAATTACAATGTTTTAGCCGTCTTTTTCTCAGCAAGTGAATTGGAAATGTTTAAAGTATCAAAGTTGGGAAGAAATTGGGGTGGGGGGTGGGGGGGTGTCATTGAAAATGATAACTTTTATTTGTACTACAACCTATCCATGCGAATAAAATGCTGAGTGTGACATTACTTGTCAATTTCACAGTATTCATGAATACATGAAGTAGTGATGAAAGTAACTATGTCAGTATATCACTTTATTACATACTAAGCAATAAATACAGTCTTTCTGCATGGGGGATATGCCTGATGCCATAATTTAATAGCCATATCAGGTTCTAGGGATGATAAGGATCGTGCAGGGGTGATTCAGATTATTCTAACCCTGTGCACAGTGAACCTTTTTTTTTTTTAAAAAAAAAATGAACTTGCAGTAAAACACATTCAGAGTTATTGCAAATATCAACTTAACTGACAGGTCAATTAATTTTGTTTAAAAAATTAAGATGCATGTTGTATTAAACTTTGTAATATTTATATTCATTCAGGAAAAGGCTAAAGGCGGGATGGATGATAGTGCATTTGAATCCCTTGAAAAGGACTTTAAAGAGGTAATACATGTACATATAGAGCAGTTAATCTTTAAATCCACTAACATTAAAATTACAGTGTTCTTTATAATTAGTAAGTATAAATATAGAAAGATAAGGAATTTAAAAATTATTTGTTTTTTTTCCCTAAATTTCTCTAGGTTCTTGAACAACTGAAAGGGGACAAAACACTTGACAAGTTTCGACAAGAATATGAAAAGCTTCATAAAGCCCTGAAGAAGAGTCATGAGAGTGAGAAACGTTTAATGCAAAAAACAAGGGAGTTAAATGCTGAAATCACAGCCAACTCAGCCAAGGTTGCTACAGCATTAAAACTGTCTCAAGAAGACCAGAACCAAATCCAATCATTAAAGAAAGAAATTGAGAAGGCATGGAAAACTCGGGATGCTGCGTATGAAAAGGAAACAAGGGCAAGAGAAACAATTCAACAACTAAAAATGGAGATTGCTAACTTAAGTAAGCTCGTGGAGCAGGGAGCTGGACTTACTATGGGACAAGAACATAGGTATTGGTCTAAAAAGATACTTAAAAAAATGTATTGAAGACTATATACATATATAATCATAATACAATACTCTTGCAACCTTGAAACTCATTTAGAATATTGAATGTTGAAAGTCAAACCATGCTTGTTTTTAATAAATAAGCATTTGGGGAGGGGGGGATGCACTCCACATGAAATAGTATGAAATGACATTATAAAAGTTTAATTTTCCTCATTTTTAAGAGGATACAATAATTCTAACATGACTTTGATGAAAAACAAATAAAGGTATGAAAAATCTTTTACATGCTTTTATTTGTAATTTATAATAAAATTCACTTCATTGATTTATTTGCTAACAAAATGTGATAACATTTGTCATGCTTTTAAACTCATTTCCTTTTTATTTGCTAGTGTCAATGAACTCTTAAAAATGAAGGAGGAATTAACAAAGGAGAGAGATGAGCAACTGAATGAGATCGTCAAACTACGAGAGTCATTGGCGCAAGCTGCCTCACAGCAGCAGAAGCTGGAGTCAGATAAGAAGGAATGTGAGGAAAAAATACAAGAGGTACATGTCATTCATAATTTGCATACTGTAAATCACTTTTTATTTGTGAGTATTTATATGGTGACATTTATGCAAGACTGTCAGTTCAATCTGGCATGTATTTTTATTATGGAGATTACTTAAAACAATTAACAGAATTCGTGAAAATTTTGTCTCACTTATAAATATCTTATGACTGACCCGCAAAAATAAAATGTCAAGAATATTTTGGTGATACGATATTTTCTTTAAAACTTTATCATTACCTTATTGATTATATATACACTTATGTAGTTACATGTAATATCAGCTCTTACTAGCAATGTTTGATCTCATTTCTATTTTAAAATTTTATCACAGCTTAACCAAGAGATCCAAGTTAAAAACAATGAAGCTCAGAGAGAGAGCAGAAAGAAGGATAAGATGGAGAGAGAGCTGAAGCAAGCAAAGGCTGATCTGGATGCCAAGACTGGGGAGATCAAGAATCTACAGGGCCGTATAGAGAATTACAAAAGTGACATCACTAAACTGGAGCAGCAGATGAAAGAACAGAAGGTAAAACTTTATACTTCAACTCTTGTAATACTGAATATTTATATATAAATTATATTTGAAAATTCTATTTTTAAAAAAAATCAATTTTTCAAGTCTTTTCTGTTACTGATATAATTCATGGATTTTTTTCGTGCAGATTTTGAATGAGAGAACCATAAAGGATGCTGACATTTTACATACCAGATTTGCCAAGCTTCAGTCAGACTTTGAAGCACAGTTGATAACTACAGATCAGCTGACTGCGGAGAACCAAGCCCGAGTCACTGAGCTGAAGGTACACATCATACAGCATATTACTTATATCACTTTGCTAGAACATAAGAAAGATTAATGTGAACAATAAATCAGTTTTCAGAGTATTACGTATGTTTCCTACAGTAAAAACAATTGATGTACACTGAGATTTTTGTCTTTAAAAATCTTTCACACATACAAAAATATTGTTTCATACAAATTTTTTAATTTATATCTGTAGCAAAAAGAAGATGAAGTGAACCAGCTCAAACAGGAGACACAACGGCTCAACAAAATGAGAGAGACAATTCAGAGGAAACTTCGGCAAGTGGAGGAAAATAAGTCAGATGTAGAACAGCAGAGGGAAACTCTCAAGAGTCAAATTATTGGTTTGGAGAGAGGTAATTTAAAGGCTTCATCATTTCCTTGCAAAATGATAATCTTTTACAAAAATTTCATGAAAAAAATGTGCTCATGCAAGTTTTCTTGAAAATGAAATTGTTAATCTATGTTTTATCTTTGTAAAACAGAGTTGGAGGCAGCCAAGAAACAAGCTGAGGCTGATAAGAAAACAATTGATGATAGAACAAGGGAGCGTGACATCCTACAAAAGGTATGTTCTTGTGAAAATCAATAAAGCCCACTAAGAATATATTGCTTTTGAAAATACATACATGTACATCTAAAACAAGGGAGTTTAACTATATATTTGTGTAATACAGAGCATGTTAAAAGCAGCCAGTGCCACTCAAAAGCAGATCCATCTTGTTCGGCTCCATGAGCAGTCAAAGAAGAACCTTGAACAAGACATACAGAATTACAGAGAGGAGGCCCAGAAACAGAGGAAGATCATCTACCAGCTGGAGAAGGAGAGAGATCGCTACATTAATGAGGCCAGCGATCTTACTCAGAGGGTAGGTGATCCAAGTTCTACTAACTACATGTAACTAAGGTCTTAAATGTAACTGGTAACAAACTGAAGGACACACTTCATTTTATATTGTACGGTAAAACTTGTCAAATTTGGACACCACTGGTTCTTTAGAAATTGGCCAGATTAGACAACACCTGGATTAAACAATTAGAAATTTTTTGTCTTTGGTAGGTTCTCTCACATATGGAAGATGTAAAAGTTCGTGAGATGCAGATTTTCGACTACAAGAAGAAAATTGCTGAGGCTGACACCAAACTCAGGCAGCAGCAGAACTTGTATGAGGCTGTTAGGAGTGACAGGAACTTGTACAGCAAGAACCTCATTGAGTCTCAGGTAAGCCATATTATGTTTTCTTGAAAAATCTTAAGAAAGAAAGAATGCATGAGCATGTAAGAGAACTTATAGCCTGGAATAATAGCTTGATAACTGAAAATATTTTGGTAATTAATATTAGGATGAGATCACTGAGATGAAGAGGAAGCTGAAAATCATGAACCACCAGATTGATCAGCTGAAGGAGGAAATTCAGGCTAAAGAAAACGCTCTCCTCAAGGAACACTTTGAGCACCAGAGAGTAGAGAAGGACAAGGAGAACCTTAAATCTGAGCTGAACCGCCTCAAACAGCAGGCTCAGGAGAGCAAGGCTTATATAGAGGCTCAGGAAGCTGAGGAGAGAAAGCTGCTGAAGATCATCGCTGAGGCTGATGCTGAGAGAGTCAGACAGAAGAAGGAACTGGATCAGGTAAGACATGTAACATAGAAATATTAGCGAATAAGACAATCATGTAAATTTAGGATAAGGCCGAAAATTAACTTTCTCTTATAATTAATGTACTTTGAGAATTACTTAAGTTTCTTTTGCTTATCTTCTTTAATTTTCTTCTTTCCAGGTGATTAGTGAGAGAGATATTTTAGGAACCCAGCTCGTGAGACGAAACGATGAGTTGGCTCTTCTGTATGAGAAGATAAAGATACAACAGTCCACACTGAACAAGGGAGAGATACAGTACAACCAGAGACTGGAGGATATCAGAGTACTGAAGCTGGAAATCAAGAAACTCCGACGGGCAAATGCCATCCTAGAGAAGAGAGTAGCCAATGTGAAAGACCTCAGGTAAACAGGCCACAATCTAATATAACTGTTCTGAAATGGTTTCTCCAACTTGATGAGGTTTTGAGTATTACATGCATAATTCACTGAATCCTGCCTTTCCAGACTTGAAGTCTACCACATTCAGAGGGAATTACTGAGGGAAAGAACAAGATGCAAGGCTCTTGAGGAAGAGTTGGAAAATCCAATGAACATTCACAGATGGAGAAAGCTGGAGGCAAGTGTTTAACTTCACCAGCAAATATCTTAGATATTTATAAAATACCTTGTTTATAAGTTACATCTAAATTTGTAGCAGCAGCTGTTTATATGAGCCTTTTTCTCTCTACAGGGTAGTGATCCAAGCACCTATGAGATGATCCAGAAGATTCAAACTCTGCAGAAGCGATTGATCTCCAAGACAGAGGAGGTAGTGGAAAAGGAGCTACTGATCCAAGAAAAGGAAAAACTATATCTAGAGCTGAAACACATCCTGGCCCGACAGCCCGGCCCCGAAGTGGCAGAGCAGCTCACCATCTACCAACAGACACTCAAAGAAAAGACCAAACAAATGAAGGTATGTCTGCACTGTCAAGAGGTCTTGCTGAGTTAAGTTCATTATTGAAATTTTATATTTCTTTATACTAAGTTCAAACTATTTTTTTACAGTCTATGGCCTCTGAATTAAATATGTATGAATCCCAAGTCAACGAATACAAATATGAGATAGAGAGAATAGCTAGAGAGCTACAGGAAGTCAAGAAGAAATATTTCATGCAGAAAAAGAAAGAACAACAAACAAAGTAAGTTCAGAATGGAATAAATTGTCAGGATATTTTTTATCTGTTGATAAAGTTTTAAACAGTAAAAAAATGCAGTGTTCCTCACGGCATTTGCTCGAATGATTTAATATAAGAAAGTTATTCCTGCACGATAATGAGGTAGTAGTTCATGATAAACTTTTTCCTTCACAGAGAGAGGGAGCGGGCTTTAGCACAGGCCGGGGCCCCTGTCATCCAACCACAGAGGACAGATGGGCCTCGGTTCACGGGAGGAGGCTTCAACCTGAAGTCCACTAAAACAGCTGCTTAGCACTGCCATGTAGCTAGGCAATATTGAACTTATTCTATATGAACACTTCCTAGGAATTTTATTTTGGACTCTACTATATAGGGAATTTTGTTTTATTTATACTTACGGATCTGCTTCTAAATTTGGTTTCCATTTTGAAATATGTATGCATTTGTTTGATTTCCAGCACAAAACAAATATTTGAAGAAATAAACAAATTTATTTAAATATATGTTAATTTTACATGGAAGTTTTTTTTTTTACTGTCTGTGATAAAACTTGTTTTCATACAGAGTATTTATTATATCTAATAAATTTCCCAAAATTGTTTTTCTTAATTCTTTCATTGCTGCCTGCATACATGTATATGCAATTCAACCATAAAAATGAAGAGGATGAGTTTTGTAAAACAAGAGGACCGTAGACCTTGACAGCTAGTCCGTGGGCTATGAAAAATTTAACCCCACATGAAACTGCAAAATGCATTTTAAATACTGATACCTGAACAACTTAATTTGCCCTACCCTGAGCCATGCACAATCTGGTAAATGACCAAAAGCTTACTGCCATCATGCATACAGTTAACTTGCTAAATGTTCAGGAATAAATAAGATTTTCAAAGGTATATCCTACAATAATTTTTTAGTATACAACTAACTTAGCCCCACACTAGGGCCTGAACCAAAAAACTGAATTTCACAATTTGGTACAGTACTTGCTGCTCATTAAACATGTAATCATGCAAAAAAAAAAAATTGCCTGCTTCATGTCCATAAGTAAAGAAGATTTTCAAAGTTGTAATGTATTTTCACAACAATCTTTGCCCCACCATGGGACCTGAACACAGAAATCATGAATTTCACATTTCTGGTAGAAGGCTAGCTTCTTGTAAAGTTTACCTGCAAGATGTCCATGTGTAAAGACTCTCAAAGGTCCAATATATTTTCCAATATATATGATCAACTTAGACTTGCCCTGAGGCCTGAACTCTGGGCTCACCGGATGTACATTTCATTTTTTTTCTTAAAAAAGTAATTTCAGAATATATTTTTAGGTCACCTAAGTTTACTCAGGTGATCTATTGCTATCTGTTTTCGTCCATCATCGTGTGGCTAGCAGGCTATAATAAGCAAGGGTATTTTTACCAGATTTTGAAATTCTTGGGCAACATTGCTTCGTCTATCAGTTAATTTTGTTTTATACTTCTATGGATACTTTACATGTTGTATTATACTCAGGTGACTGTTAAGGCCCTTGGGCCTCTTGTTTTTTTCCTAATGATTCAGCAGCAGAAAAGAATTTGTAACTTAAAACAGTATTTGGGTTTCTTACTAAATTTTGGTTCAATCCATATGCTTTTAACCAACATTTTGCCATTAGTATTATTAAAAACTGATAGAGTTTTCAAATATTCTAGAAGATTGTGACATATTTTAAGACTTTATTGGATACATGTAAATGTCCATTTTACAAATACAAAAAAGAGAACAAGGAAATTTGTAATTCATTTATACTGTCCTGGTGTCAAATAATCCCATTCTGATGACTGGCACAACATACTTTTAATTATCACACAAATCACAAACAACTTTATTGTTGAACAGTGACCTCCCCTTCCTGTGGCCACCAACTGGGAATATGAGCCCTAACATTGTAACATTGTCCACTAGGAGTAGAAATTACAAGCCTCTTTTTGACTTCAGCCAATCGAATTAGTCCTAATCCAAACTTATCCAATGAATTCCTGTACTTCCCAGCATTCTTCTTTGTATCTGCCGTTTCTATGGTATCTCCTGTTTTGACATCCTCTGGAACGCTGTGTGCATAAGAAATTCAATTAAATTGAATTGATTTTAGCTTTGATACAGCACACAATATTTAAAAATATGAATGTTATTTAAAACAAGTATGAATTAACTTCTCAAACTACAGGTATACTAAGTATTTTGAATATATATTATCAAATTCATTCATTCTGCAATATGCATTGTTTTAATATTTGTCTTAATTCATATATTATTGCTCATCAAAATTGTGTGTTACGGAATCTTGTAATCAGTCATTCTACAAAAACATGACCAATTAAGAATTTTTTATGTCGCTTACAAATTTACCATTGTAATATCTTAACTTTAAATTTAAAGGTCGATTTCAACTCTAAGACTTAACATACACACATGGTTTTGTAAATATTCACCGATATATATGCAGTTCAAGTTTTGATATGAACATAATGTAATGTTGAAAAACATATTCCACTGCAAATCTTAATGTCGCTTCATTTATTTACAAATTTCAAGATGAAATTTTTAGCCGTAAAATCGTTCCGAATAGATTACAATGAATGTTAAAAAATGTCTTTTATCCTATATAAAATGAAATCAAACCACTTCTCGCAAAGAAATGCATGGGTCTCCTTTCATGCGAATTCATAAGCATGTCGCTTAAAATTGATTAACTTCCATAACGATTTTGTTTTAAATTTCACGCATAGATTGCAGATTTCAAAAAGAACTGAAACTTATCTGAAAGTGACCACGGAACCTTATATCATCGACTCTAGTTGTGAGTCAGCTTTTTTAGATGATTACATAACAAAATGAATTAGAAAAAAAAAGTTGTCTCTCTTAAAAATTTAACTTCTGTAATAGTAATTCAGGAAAGTTTATGCATCAAAGGTATAAAGTTTTTTATCATTTTGGGAGTGAAATGCTTCATACTTTTGTTTAAAGGTGCTTAGACACAGATTTGAAGTTAATATTTTCTCAAAATTTCTGTATAATATCACGACTTATATATTGCAATAGCATTTCACACGAAAATATAATTAAAAACTTATTTTATCTGGAAATTATTGGAACTACGAATTCCTGGATGCGTTTGATTAACACATCCTTGCACTTTCACAAATTTTATCTTTATCCTTAATATTTAAGAAAAGAAGCGATTTTGTTTTGTATTAATGAAAAACATTACATCTATAATCCAGAAAATTCAGAGTAGAAATGTGCGAAAGCAAACCCCCTCACTAATATCGTCAGCCCGTGCTCAGTGTTGTGTACAGAGTTTAACAAATTGAATACACCCGTGAAACGTAAACTGTTTCTGTAAACAGGGCACGAGCTCTGTTATTGTTAATGTTTATGATTCACCGGGTGTGTTCAATTGTTAAAGTCTGCACACACCACTGAGCACAGACTGACAATACTGTGAGTGGGTTTTGCTTTCGAACATTTCTACTCTGAATTTTCTGGATTATAGTTTTAATACTTTTCATTTATACACAACAAAACTGCCACTTTTCTTAAGGATTAAGAATAAAATTAAGAATTGTGAAAGTGCAAGGATGTGTCAATCAAACGCGTCCAGAAATTTGAAGTTTCAATAACTTCGAGATGAAATAAGATTATTATATTTTAGTATGAAATGCTATAGCAACATATAAGTCATGAAATTATACAGAAAATCTGAGAAAATATTAACTTCAAATCTGTTTCCAAGCACCTTTAATATCCAAAAAGAAACTTTGATTTTAACTATTGAAGAGAATTTTAACTTTTATTGCTGGAAATTAACTTCCGTAAGAATTAACTTCCGTAACGATATTTTTCCCGAAAATTTAATTTAAATTTGGATTCATGCTAGACTTCCATGAATCATACTTTAGCGTTCTTTACTGAACATCAGAAACAAAAAATTGGTCAAATTCAGCTTTATTTAAAAAATAATAAGACTTGATCAAGCATTAACTTCCGTAACATTACCTTAAAATCAACGGTATCTTGAAATTGTTGTAAAAAGTTAATGATACCAGATTTGTGGACAATTCTTTGTTTTCAAGTTCACTGATATGTCCTTTAGAGAATTATGATGTTCATTTTGCTATTTGAAACAATTATTTTTTCATGTTTTTTACTCTGAATTGGTCCATTTATCGTAGAATGACTGAATATCTAATAAAGAAATCTTAATTATTTTTAATGTCCACTTCTTTAAATAACAGTTCAACTATTAAAAATAAGATATCAATTTTAGAGTTTCATTAGAATATGATATGCAGTTGTTCAAGTGATCAAATCCTGTAATGCCTTGAGGGCATTTTAGTAGATTTGATCAAGTACAAGCTGCATGTCAAATTTCAATGAAATTCTGAAAATGATATTTTATTTCTTATCTTTATATTTTCTATGTTGATTTGTTTTCTTATTGAGCTTCCATACTTATGTTTTGCAAAAAACCAGTCTGACCAACTTCACATCAACGAAAATTGATTGTTGATTTCGTTAGTATGGTCATATAAGGAAATACATTGGCAAATGTAATTGTAAATGTAAGAAAAGTAACTTCCAAGCATTATTTTAGTGTGTTCTTGTGGCATAATAAATATTGAGATACATTCTCCTTACCTGTCAAACTCTATAGGAACAAGTCGTTTCCTAATGACCCCAGTGTGGTGAGATCTGGCTGTCAGTTCCTGTCCTATATAACAGCCTTTACTAAAACTCACTGAAAATTTAAAATGTGTAGCTAGAACCAACTTTGTTTTATACCAGTAAGTTAAATAATTTCCAATGAATAGGCCTTGAAAATAAAACATTTTTTGCATCACAACTTACTACAATGCTAAAGTCAGTGGGAATTCTTTATATGCAATGGCATGCAAGAAGATTACATGTGTACAATGATTTTCAGTTGTCTCTCTTTGGCAAGAAATTTTACACAAACCTCCATCCCAGAAACCTGACTCCACCTCTTTGCAAATTACAGAAATATATTTAAGCCCAACACAATTTTCTGAACTTCAATTAAATCAATCATTTTATTCATCTTATAAGGACCAGTAAATAGTTTCTCATTCTCCAATATAGAAAACAAGTACTTGTTAAATTTTTGCAAAAAAAAAGTCAAAGATTTTAGTGTACCTCCATTATGAAAGACAAGGTTACTCTCTAGTGGTAGACATTGGCCAGGAGGAAGATCTAGTGTCCCCTCAGGGAGCCCCGTTTTATACCGCTGGATGTGGTACTCCCTCTCCTCTCTCACTTCTACTTCACAGTCAGTGTTAGTGGCTAAGTGAACATTTTCATTTTAGATCCTCATACATAATTTTAGTGCAAATTCATTGAAAGTTTCGACTTTTATTAGGTAGTGATACACTTTAACTTGCATCACATCAACATAACAAATAGTGATGGTTTATGTACCGGTAATATAAATGCTACATTAGATCAATGAAGAAATATAGCCTTGTGCATTCTGATGTTTTTAAAAGCATTGTAATGTCATCTATATTGCACTGCATGGCGTTACAGTTTCAACTGCAGAGATGTGCTACAATTTTTTGAACAGCTCATTTTGGAGGTCAAATGTAAAACTATGTTGCTAAAATACACAAAAACTGTCTTGAAATATAAGTGATATTTGAGCTCCCATCAAAAAAACACCAAGAGTGCTCAGCAGTCAGCAAGCCTCACCTTCTATCATGATTTCTTACCCTTCCCCAAATATCACATATTCCAAGACAGAGCGTAGAAGAATCAGGTAAAATTATTAAGCATAATTTGAATTCTCTTGATATCAAAATGCAGTGCAATCCTTTTGTTTTTTATTTTTTGTTTTTGTCAGTCACACCCAAAAGTCCAAATTGTCAGTAAAACTGTTTACTCTTGCATGACACCTTCATTTATATGTCTTCTACGTATATATTCTGAGTATAAAATACAACTATGATTCAGATAGTAAAAGACATTGTGACCATATGATTACTTCCTTCTTAATTTTTCACACTTCACTTTGGCACCAAATATCCAGCATATTGATTAATGGTCAGAAACTTCTTTCTGTTGTGTGCTTTGTAAAACTATCAAATATGAGAGTAGGTGTTTAAGAAATTTAATTTATTTACCTGCTATAACAGCCTGTTGGTCTCTGGCTACAATTCTCCAGCCAAAGACCTCTAGTCTTGGATCAGGTTCACAATGAATTACCTCCTCTTTTTTGAAAGGCAGCCACACTCTTTCACTTTGTTTTTCTGACGGCAAGGCAGCAAAGGTCTGGAATTCATTGCTCGCTTCTGCAATGTCTACCTGTAATGTGCGGTTATAATAAATACCACATATCCATATTACAGAAATAATTTTTTTATTTACGTTTATTGTTCATCACTCCAACACAGTGATTTTCAATTCATGCAAAATGCCCCTCTAAGAGAGACAACTCTAGCACTGATTAGTCAATGTTTCCTTTATAACATTTTTTATCACTGTTCAACATCAAATTTTACTCTGTAGAGAATTCTAAATTTGCTAGAATTTCATCTTTTCCTCTGTCCTCAGTAAAAACATTTCATATTCACAAGAAAAAAAAATCCATTTCAATGAGCAGCAGATTATTCACCCTCCACAGATTTTACACTAACCTTTTTCCTAATTTTATACTTTTTAAGAAGTTTAATCATGTCTTTTATGACTTCCTGGTCACATTCCATCAAAACACAAGGGACATCAGTGTCTTGATTCTTCCTATACATAATAATATCATACAGCACTCTTCCCTACAAAGAAACCAATTTCCTATGGATCACTCTTCTGGAACTGTGATTAAAATTCAGTTTCATCAAAGATATGAACATTTTTTTTTCATAAATGTGAGTGCTGAATATTCAAAGGTAGAATTTCTTATCTTTTTTATACATGCAAGTATTTCCTTTATAAAGAAACCAAAAAATAAAGGAGTAGAATCATTGTTCATCCCAAAAAAAACATGGTAATTTTCATCCATAAGAAAATCTTCATATTCTCTAGATGCATGTATGTATATGGTGATTACCTGAGGGTTAAGCATCATGGTATATATAGATCCCTGGTCTTCCTCTAACTGTGTGACATCATTTGTGACCAGCCCCTGTAAGAATGGTACCACATCCAACCCCTCTAGTTTTATCATACCCCTGCTCCTCATTCTGTACAATCTCCATGTCCTCCACTCACTGTAAGTCCGGGATTCCCTCCCAGTGAAATTAATAGTGTCTCTACTGCTGGGCTCCACCTTGTGACAGCGACATAGAATTGAAATTGGACATTGGCGTATTATTCTATTCCAGGTTGGCACCAGAAGTCTCATTTTACATGTCATCATTAGTTTCTTGAAAGTAGAAGTAGTAAAATAAAATTATCATTATACATTTTTTTCTGAAACACAAATATAAACCAAAAAAGTTAACTTGTAGTAATTTTGAATCTAATCTTGGATATTACTCTTCTTTAAACTTATACTAAAACATATGTTACTTCACTATCCAGTGCACATGAATCAGCCTAACTTATAATATTTGCTGCAATGGAAATATATCGGTGATTTTTTGTGATAAAAATATATATTCTTAATCAGGATGGTGAATCTGAATTCTTTTAAGTACCTTTCTTATATTGGACAAATGTAACATGTTTCTTAGTAACTACAAATTCAGAATGATTAGATACTGTATACAGGGAAATTTTCGCCCCCGTTTTAATTTCGCCCCTTTCGCCTTACCCTCATTTGGGCAAATTTAAAACGGGGCGAATTCAAAGAATACAGTATAATTTCTTAAACAAAACTATGAATGGGCGAATTTAAAACGGGGCAAAATTGTTTGCATGTGTGAAAGGGCGAAAATAATACGGGGCGAAAATAACCCTGTATACAGTATTCTATTTAGACTTGTTATGTGATTTAGCAGTCACATGATTTAAGCAAATATACTTGCAGAATTGAGACCACCCATAAATTTCAATACTGCATAACCTAGATAATATTCTAAGTTTAATTTATGAACATTTTCAACACCCACTGTAGTTTGTGAAAAGTGCTGCGATCATATATAGCTGTATAGATTCATAGGGGCCAGTAAAATTATATATATATATATATATATATATATATATATATATATATATATATATATATATATATATATATATATATATATATATAACAATTAAGCTGGGTTAGTGCCTTTGATCTGCAGCTGGATCATTATATGATGCAAAGAGTTTCAAAGACACTAAAATGCGCCGTGTAACAGACTGAAACCAACTTTTAAAAAAATAGCCGAATAGCATTTCTAAACTCTCTAACTTTAGATTATTCAATAAAAATAATCTCATCCAGTTACTGGTCCATCAAAAAATGAAGACGGCAAAAAATTATTATACTTACTCTTCTTCTTCGATGACAATAAACCGGATTTTAAAAAAGAGTCATAAATTATAAAACCAAACGAATTAGAATAATGATATCCGTAAAACAAATCAATAAGTTTGGACTGTTTTTGATATACACGATACTCCGTTGATCACCATATTGGTGGTCAACATGTTCATATTCCTTCATTATTCATTCAGTCTTAACTTGTCAAAATGGCCATTGTTTATCGACACTTGGGACATTGACAGCCCCCCCCCCCCCTTTCCATCAGTTTTGCTAATTTTTTTTAATTTTTTTTTTTTTGGGGGGGGGGGGGCAGACAAATGATAACATTATTGATAACACGCAATACATGCAAGTAAAGCTTTTTCAGGTTCCAAGTGATCTGAAGAATGTAACTTTAGGCCATCTTTCAAAAACCTACCTACCTATTCGCAAAAAAAAAAAACAAAAAACAAAAAAAAACACAAAAACACATAAGCTAAAAAATAAATCATGCAGACTTTATAGTCATTCAAAGGATCTGGATTCCATTTATCTATTTTTCTCGTAGAAAGATCTATTCACCAGCAAAATTACGGTATTAAATGCTTGAAATATTCCTAATATGACATATTGTAGAGAAATATTTAGAGAAATTGACAGAATTCAAAGATTTCGACGAGGTGGATGTAGGCGAAAGCCTGTCCACTTCTCTAAAGAGAATACCAGAGACAAAGGGCTCGATTTCAGGATGGGTGTTTTTTGTGTATTGTTTGTCTAAATATACTGATTACTTGTACATGTAGATGTACAAGAAATACGATTTTTTAATCTGTAAATTCCAGCAAATTTCGACTTTATTATAATCAGTATATTTAGACAGACATAGAAAAACATTTAGGGTATTCTGAATCAGCCTGCAATTCGCGACTCTCGGTAATTTACACAAAATACACCACCCTGAAACCGAGACCGCATGGCTAACGTGCGTGGATGCAGAGGAGAGTCGAGGGGTCCGGACCCCCCCCCCCCCCCCTGATTTTACAGAGTTATTATATGTATATACTGAAGTAAATAAATTATATTAATAGTAAGCTGTTTGTCATGAAATTCCATATACGACAGCCGAATTCCATAGTTTGTTTTGTATTTCAGTGCATTTATTTATTTTTTTTTTTTTTAAATATTTTTTAATTGAATTTTTTTTTCGGGAGGGGGGGGGGCAAATTTTTGCTTTGCATTACTTTTACACCCTTTCCGCTGCCCATAATTAAGTCTCTTTTAAAAATAATTTTTATCATAAAAAAATTTTGCTCATACATTCCTGCTATGCACAGTTAATGTTAGAAACATAGTTTAAATTTCTAAAGTTTAGATAATTATCAGAAATACATCCTCACAATGTCAAGGTCTGGTGATTTCGGAACTCCACACAAATCCTTGACATTTATAAGTCGCTATTAAAAAGTTGGGCTAGAAAGCTACTTATTTCATTTGTTCCTAGTCTAAGACTGGAACAAATCAGAAAAACAGCTTTTATTGTAGGTAAGTTTTGTAAACAAATATGATCGTCTTTAAAATGGAAAGTGTCGATATTGTAGAATTTTTGACAAGTTACATTAAACGAAACATCGGGGATAAATTTTTGGATGATCATCCTCCCAACAATCACAGAAGATATGCTCTGGAGTTGGGCCGTTTGAAAACTAAGGATTTGTAAAATATATTTGTCTATATATCTCTTTCACGTCTCTCTGTGTCTATTGTTGGTTAATGAGAGAGGATTGACACATGGCGGAAAAGGGGGCAACTCAGTGGTAAAGACTATCTTTAATGAATCCTCCAAAACAGAGAATCTTAGAGAACCCTAAAGAACTCTTGCTATATTTGTTGAATTCAAATAAATATTATGCATAATTAAGTACATATCCTAGTGAATTTGAAATAAAAGATACCACAAAGTTCGACACATCTGTTTCATATTTCGATATTTTACTAGAAAAGGACATTGATGGTAACCTTACAACAAAACTTTATGACAAAGGTGATGACTTCAACTTTTCTATCGTCAATTTCTCTTACTTGTGTAGCAATATACCCTTACATCTGGATAAGGGGTTTATATCCCAGTTCGATACGCAAGAGCATGCTCCACGAACAAACAATTTCTTAAACGAGGCAAGCTATTGACAAACAAGTTGATGAAACAAGAATATCAACAGTCTCGTTTAAATTCATCATTTCGCAAGTTCTATGGTCGATACAATGACCTTGTCAGTAAATACAATATACATGTATCATTAAGTCGAATGCTGACGGACGTTTTTCATACTAATTGTTCTAGGCCATTATTTAACACTGAATTGTCTACGGAATTTTCCGTTTGCCCGCTCATGACAATGAGCATACGGCGGGTGTGACCGGTCGACAGTGGATGCTCACTCCTCCATGGCACCTGATCCCACCTCTGACGTTTTTTCAGAGGTCCGTGTTTGCTCTAGGTCTGCTCCTGATTTGTATGGCTTCAATGGACTTTTGAGCTTGATCACTGTACCTTTTCTCCATATTTCATTGAAGATTACTTTATGTATCACACAACACAAGTAACACCATTATCATTTGCCTCAATAAGTGTTTAAAGAACACTTCACTTGTATCGATTTTCTTTATGGGTACAAGTGAAAGGGCCTAAATTATAAAATTTGAATGAACAAAAACTACTGTCTTTTACCAAATATACACAAATCAGTTTGTTGACTAAAATATTCCAGTTCATTATTAGCAGACCTATTTTTATATTCATATGAATCAGAATTTATTCAAAAACTTCTACGTGAAAAGAAGTCACTTACTGTGGCCTTCAATTCAACATTTAGATATATCGACGACGTTTTATCAATTAATAATTATATTCATTTTTATTCCTACGTTGATTCGATATATCCCTTTGAACTCGAAATAAAAGACACCATAGACTATGACACATCTGTTTCATATTTGAATATTTTACTACAGAAAGACATTAATGGCAAACTAACAACGAAACTATATGATAAACGTGATGACTTCAACTTTTCTTTTGTCAACTTCCCTTGTTTTTTAAGTAGCAATATAATGATACCCTGCATATGGGGTTTATGTCTCCCAGTTGACTCGATATGCAAGAGCATGTTCTACGAACGAACAATTTCTAAAATGAGACAAACTATTGACAATTAAGTTGATGATACAAGAATATCAACAGTCATGTTTAAACTCAACATTTTACAAGTTCTATGGTCGATACAATGATATTGTTAGCAAATACAATCTACTGTTAAGTCGAGTGTTGACTGGCTACGTCTACGTTTTTTTCTGTTTGACCAATCATGACAAGAAGCACACGGCGGAATGACCGTCCGACAGGGGATGCTTACTCCTCCATAGTACCTGATCCCAATTCTGCTGTTTTTAGAGGTCGATCGTTTTTGGTCTGCTCACAGTTTGTATTGTTCAAATGGAATTTTGAGCTTGATTATAGTTCTTTTTCTTCAAATTCATCAATTCATCGATACGCTTACTGTGTGTTGGACCGGGGGGGGGGGGGGGGAGGAGGAGGGGAGGCTGTCTGATGTTATATTCCAAAGCCCAGTGGAACAAGTGAATTCAATCCACGCAAAAAAAGTCCCGCCGCAAAAATGGCCTTGAAAATTGAGCCAAAACCTGTGGAATTTAATCCGATTCATTTTTCAATGAGTGTGGAAAAGTAAAACCAGTTTCAAACGTTGGAGATTATTCACCTTAGATATGTGTATGGATCACCATGGAGAACTTTGATGTTCATATCTTCAAGTACTGATAAGGTGCAATTTTTTATTTCGTTATAAAACTGCTTTCATAGACGATTGACGAAAATAATAGTAAACAGACTTTTTCTTCTTTTGGAGAACATATGTCCCACTTCTACCAATTTTCGTGTATTACCCTGAATC